GGCTGGGCGGGAAGACAGCTGGGGAGGATGGCCGCGGTGACTCCAGCTCAGTGACCACCACCCACTGTGTCACCCTGGGAGAGCTGAGTCACCTTCCATGTGAACTTTTTATTTAAAAAAAAAAAAAAGAAGAACATGGGGGTGACACTATGCCCTGGGTGTCATGTGACGCTCAGGTGATGCAGCTGGGATAAACTGGGACAGAGCACAAGTGGGGAATCCTCCTGGGTGGCCTGGAGGGAAACCAGGCCGAGACAAAGTCCCTTCTCCCGCCACCAGCCAAGCCCTGGCCTAGCCACAGCCTACTGGAGCAGGGAGGTGACAATCCACAGGTAGGACACCAGTGCCACGCTCCCTGTGGGGTGGTGCTGCGCCATCAGTGGGCCGATTCCGACTCCCGGGGACCGATGTGTGCGGGGTCTTCAAGGCTGAAGCCTTTAGGAAGGCGGTCGCTGGCCGTCAAGGGATGAACTATGTGCACCACCCAGGCCCCGTTACAAGCTTATTCATAGCCATTTAACACAGCACTTGATGCAGGTGGGAGCTCTGGTAGCATAGTGGCTAAAGCACTTGACTGCTCACCAGATGGCTGGCGATTCAAACCCATCAGCCACTCCTCGGAAGGAAGGTTGAACAATCCTACTTCCATAGTGATACTGCCTCGGAAACCCAAGGAGGGGTCGCTATGAGTCAAGGCTAACTCGACAGCACATAACATAACACATAACTTGATGCAGGCCAGACACTGAGCCAGGCATCTGAAAGCGTCTCATGTCATTCAGCCCTCAAAACGGCTTTATAACAGAACCTGTTACTATTCCCATTTTCCAACTGACAAAGCCGAGGCCCAGGAAAAAAGGTAGCCTGCCTAAAGGAAGTGGTGGAGCAGGAGCCGGACTCCGTCGCAGGCCTAGCTCTGGTTCTCCAAGCGGCCCCTCCGCCCAGCCTGTGTTTGGGGCTATTATAACCATCGTTGGCAGTTGGTGCTCGTCAACTAAGGGAAGAGACCTTGTAAAGGGGCAAGGCTGCCTGGGAGGCATGGAAGTTACTGGGGTCCAGGGCGTTAAAAGAGGCGCCTGAGCTTGCTGGGCTGATGGGGCCTGGGGATGCCAAGAGAATGCGGTCCATTCAGGAGGTGTAACGTCTGCGTGTCCACAAGCTTTAGGGCTACCTGGGAATGCTGTTCACCACAGGCCCTCCAGGTCTCCCTGGAACATTCTGATCCAGAGGAAGGGGCTGGGCCCTGGAAACAGGCACCCAGGCAACTCAGGGACACACTTAGGCAACGCTGACCTGGAACCGGGCAGTGGGCACCCAGGAAGGAAGGGACGCAGGGGAGCGGAGGTGCTCCTCCCTTTCGTACCATGTCTGGATCGTTCCAGTGCCCAGGGCCAGCCACTGGCTGCAGTAGGTCCTGGTGCTCCACGAACCAGTCCAGGACGGACAGCACGCTCCTCCAGGAGTCCTGGATGTCATCATAGTTACGCCAGAGGTTGCAGACCTCGGCCAGCAGGGTGTAGTTCACCTGAGTGTCCGGGAAGGCAGAGTCCAGTCACACCAGGCGGCTGGGAAGCCTGCCTGGCGGCTGGGAGCGGAGGACTTACAGGGAGGTGGGGAAGGACGAGAGACAGGCCCCAGGAGGAGGGTCTGAGAGGATGAGCCCTGCCCTGGGGCTGCCTGGGGCCAGAAGCCTGCCCTGCCCTCTCATGCCCACTGGGGTCAACCTACCACCCGTCTCCTGCCAGCCTACTCCCTTCCCAAAGTCTATGAGTCTGATCCTTCCCTTTCTAGTGTGCTGTAGGGCCCTTGGTGAGGTGCCCACAGGTGCTCAGGGTCCCAGCCCCCCTGGCCCGTTCAGTACCCCCATGGTTCTGACCATTTGCTGGGGGCCGTGCATGGGTACACGCGGCTTCCCAGCCTTGGATGCCAGCCCCTCTGGCCCACGTGACAGGGACTTCCTCTTCCCTGTTGTTGTTGTTATGTGCCATGGAGTCGGACCCGACTCATAGCGACCCCTCCTTGGGTTTCAGAGGTGGTATCACTATGGAAGTAGATTGCCCAACCTTCCTTCGGAGGAGTGGCTGGTGGGTTTGAACCGCCAGCCTTCTGGTTAGCAAATGCCTTAGGTGCTACGCCACCAGAGCTCCTAAAGAGTTCTGGTTGTGGGGCGCACCCCCAGGTGGAGCACAAGGTGACCTACCTGGGGAGGGAGGCCCCCCTCATAAGCTGGCCAGCTGCAGGAGAAGGCAATGGGGTGGCCTGTGGCGTTCAGGGCAGCGGCCATCTTGGGGTACCCTAGGAAGCCCAAACCCCATGTTTCAGGTCAGGGGAGGGACAAGAGGCAGCCTGGGGGAGGGGAGGTTGTTTAAACCTCCCACCAAGTGTGAGGAAAAAGAGGCCCAATGGAGAGGTCACCCCCCCACACCCTAGCCTTGTACTTCCTGGGGGGCCACGGAGTCACTCCATCTTCAGGGAGCCTGAGGACCAAGACCCCCTCCCCCCAAGCTCCAGGGTGAGAAGAGTTGGGAAACACTACACCCTAGAGGCGACAGACACAGACCAGCCTCAGCCAGGCACCCCTCCCTGTGCACCAGGTCACCCACACAGCTACAGGACTCAGCATGGGCCCCTCTCCCTGTGCACCCAGTCTCCTGCAGCCAGCTACGGGACCCACCGTGGGCCCGCCCCGGGCACCCATCCCTGTGTACCCAGTCACCCACACACAGCTACGGGACCCACCATGGGCCCGCCCCGGGCACCCATCCCTGTGTACCCAGTCACCCACATACAGCTATGGGACCCACCGTGGGCCCGCCCCGGGCATCCATCCCTGTGTACCCAGTCACCCACATACAGCTATGGGACCCACCGTGGGCCCGCCCCGGGCATCCGTCCCTGTGCACCCAATCTCCCACACACAGCTACGGGACCCACCGTGGGCCCGCTCCAGGGGGGTGGAGAAACAGCCATCCAGCTTCAGCATGTCCACTTTCCACCTGGCAAAGGTGCGTGCGTCCTGGACCACCCTGTCCAGCGTGGTGCCTGGGTAACCCATGCAGGTGTAGTTGCCCAAGTCCTCATAGATGCCCAGCTTCAGGCCCAGGGAGTGAACCTTGTCGGGAGATGAGGACACGGCGGGGCTCAGGCAGGACCCTCAGGGACTCTCCTCACAGCACATCTGGTCAGGCCCACTAAGCCTCCAGTGTCCCCACTGCCCACAGGAGAGGGATGCCCCCAACTCTGGCCCTGCCCTGCTGCACCCTCCCCCCACCACCACCCAGTCGCTGCTTCCTGCCTCTAGGCTTTTGCTTCTGCCATCCCCTCTGGGATCAGCTCAAGAACTGCCTCCTCCAGGGAGACCGCCTAGATTCCCAAGCTGGACAGCATGTTCTTCTCCTGGCTCTCACCCACCATAAACCAAAAAAAAAAAACCCTCACTGATGTTGAGTCGGATCTGACTCATAGTGACCCTTCCTTGAGCTTCCCAGACAGTATCTCTACAGAAGTAGATTACCCAAGCTTCCTTCTGAGGAGTGGCTGGTGGGTTTGAACTGCCAGCCTTCTGGTTAGCAGTCATGTGCCTAAAGCACCACACCACCAGAGCGCCTAATGGGCCCAAACCAGGCAGTGGTCTGTCCCTTCCCCACCACAGCTTGTGGCCCCAGGTAGGGCCTGTGTAAATAAGCCGAAGCCGGGTGGGTAAGAGGAGTGGTGGGGCGCCCAGGCCTAGGGCTCACATAGTCAGCCAGGTAGGCAATGCCGTGGGGGAAGCGCTTGGCATCCGGCACCAGGTTGCCCTCGTCGTCGCGTCCGCCAATCCAGCAGTCGTCAATGTTGAGGTACGTGTAGCCCCGGTCCCGCCACCCATCCTGTGCCAGTCGGTCAGCCATCTCCATGAAGAGCCACTCACTGCCCAGGGGCAAAGAAGAGGAGACAGCTCAGAGCCCAGCCTGGCCGCCCACCCCCCTTCCTCAAGCGGCTCCCACATAGACTCTGCTGTCAGCTGAGGGCTGAGGCAGGGGACCTGTGTGAGTGACTGCCTGGGACTGTGTAATGGGCTCGTGCAGGGTGGGGTGAGAGGGGTGGTCTGGCCCCAGGCTCCATAGCTGGCCTGGCCCCACATTTATCTCCTAGTGATTATCACAGGGGCTGGGTCCACCCATGGAGGCCCCAGGCAAGTCACGGGGCTGGGTGGCAGCCTTCCCAGAAGTCACCCTGAGTGCAGGGTCTGGGGGGTGGGCAGCTCTGGCTTTGCCCTCTTTTTGAGCAGACCTTCCACTCCCCGCCCCCACCCCGAGGGGCCCCCAGACTCAGGGTGTGGTCTCACCTGATGCAGTTTTTCGGGTCCTCCTCACAGTCGATGTTGCAGCGGAAGCGTTCCCAGGCCAGCCAGCCCATAGGTGGCGTCAGGAGGAGTCCGTTGTCCAGCGCCAGCCCCTGGGTCACCAGGGCCAGCAGGAGCACTGGCAGTCACGTGCAGAGGGAAGGCGGTTGACCGTGAGGGGCTCCCACGCACGGCCCCGGCCCTCACCCCCCCCGCCGCCTGCCTGAACACTAGGGGAACCAGATTCTTGACTTGAGGCAGAAACGGCTCTTCTTGGCTGCTGGCTCCTACAGAGCGGGGAGACGGAGGAGCCTGGGCTGAGGCGGTGTGTCCCCGCCTTCCCAATGGCTGTTGCCACTGCACTCCTGGTTGGCAGTCGGATCACATCTCCCCCTGGCCAGCTCTCACCCCCATACACACAGGACTTGCCAGTGCTCTGTTGTCAGATGCCAGGGCCCCTTCTTTTCCCTCACAAACCCCCCCCCCAGAGGTCTCAGGAGAGCTTAACTAGGTTGCTCCTGCACCCAGCCAGCTCACCTGGGACAGCCCTTTCCCCTGGGGCCTCGGCTTCCTTATCTTACAGATATGTTCTCAGCCCAATCGGTCAAGGTAAGCACCTCAGCGCTTTGCAGGGGGTGATGAAAGGGGAAGAGGTCTCTTTGGAGAGGAACTGATTCCTGGTTGGAGAGGGCCTCCTCCCTTCCCAGTGGAGCTCCAATTATAAGAGAGGGGAACAAGTGTCCCCATACAAGAAGGCCTAGACACTGAAGGGCTGGAGACCCTCCAGGTAGTCCCTCTTCCCAAGGGGCCACCTCCCCTCCCAGCCACCTCACCTGGATCCGTACCTGTTTTCAGCTGCATTGCTCCGGGCTGTGTCTCAGGACCTGAGCAGCTGGATCTGACTTCACCAGTTTTCTATGTTGGCCTCTGGAAGCTAGCAAACGAGGACAAAGCACTAAAACCAAACCAAACTCACTGCCGTGGAGTCGGACGCGACTCATAGCGACCCCTCCTTGGGTTTCCCAGGCGGTATCACTACGGAAGTAGATTGCCCAACCTTCCTTCCGAGGAGGGCTGGAGGGTTTGAATCACCAGCCTTCTGGTTAGCAGTCAAGTGCCTTAGGCACCACGCCACCAGAGCTCCCCGAGAAAGCACTGGCGCCTTCGAGTCCCCACTCGTGCCCTAAGCCACCTTCACACCCACACACTCCCAGGCACCCTTTCCCAGCACCCGAGTTCTTCCTCCAGAAACACTAAACAAGGTGTCTCTGGACATCAGATCTCACCCTCCCTGCCGTGCAGGGAGCCCGGAGAGTCGAAGGGGACCACGGGCCGGCTTTCCGCCGGACCAGATAGGAGTACGGCCGGCCCGAGGACACCCAGCCCGGACAGAGGCGCAGGGCTGGGACTAGGCTCCAGAACCCGCCCGCTGGGCACGGGTACCTGCGCCCGGCCTCCCAAGACGGCCGGCTCAGAGACCTAGCTCGGGGAGCCCGCAGCCCGCAGCACTCACCCTTCGGATCGGCTCAGACCCGCCGCCCGCCACTGCCTCCTGCGCCTCCCGGCGCTTGCTGAGTCACCTGATTCGCCAAGTGCGTTCCACGGGGGGCGGGGCCTTACGCCAACAAACCTCCCTAGCGGAATCTGTCAGAATGCCGCTAGCAACGTCGTGCCCCGCCCCATCAGGGCCCAATTCTCCCAAAGCCACGCCCATTCCCAACCCCGCCCTACGAGCCTCCCAAAGCCCCGCCCCTCCCAAACCCCGCCCCACAAGCCTCCCAAGCCCCGGCCTTCCAAAACCCCGCCCCACGAGGCTCTCAAACCCCGCCCCTCCCAAGCCCTGCCCCACGAGCCTGCCAAAGCCCCGCCCCTCTGAGCTCCAGCCCTGCGCGTTCCCGAGGCGGCCACAGTAGAGCGAGGTTAGGGTCGGGGTGGTGGCCTGCTCAGGTTACGCCCGAGGCTTGTCCTTTCGCCTCTGCAAGATTGAAGAGGGCAGGGATGGTGCCCGGCGCCCAGCAGGCGCTCAGTACAGCTGTGGAAAGACTCCTTGGGGTTAGGAAGACCGTGAGAGAAAGCCCAGAAACACGGTTCATAGTAAATAGCTCAAAAACTCTAAAACCGGGAGCGTGTTGTGGATTCCAACTCCTAGAGACCCTCTAGGGCGGAAGGGAACTGCCTCTAGAGGGTTTCCAAGGCTGAAATCTTTACAGAACCAGACTACGAAAAACACCACTGAGCGTGGCCAGGTTGAAATGAACCGACAACCTTATAGCAGCAGCCAAAGGGTTTAACCAATGCGCCACCAGGACACCTTTCAAAAATGCTAGTGGAAGATAATAAACATCATGGGGAGGTGAGGAAGAGCAGACTGGGTGGAAGGCACCGCTCCCACACACACACACCTGCCACTCAGCCACCTGTGTTACCTGGCTGTCTCAGGGCTCCCACAGTGCCCCCCTCATTCACTCATCAGATATTCACTGAGGAGACACTTGTGCTCAACATTGTATGCTGGGCACCTTCATGCAGATGGCCGCTGGGCATCTCAAACATAACCGGGTTTATTAACACCTGTCACCTCGGTGTCAGCTGACGGCAACTCTCCTCACAGGTTGTTGTTGTTGTTATGTGCCGTGGAGTTGGACCCCAACTCATAGCGACCCCTCCTTGGGTTTCCAAGGCAGTATCACTACCGAAGTAGATTGCCCCATCTTCCTTCTGAGGAGTGGTCCTCACAGGCGCTTCTGCCAAAACCTTAGACTCGTCCTGGCCTCCTCTTCCCACATTCCCTTCACCCATCTTGCAGCAAAGTCTGTGCTCTTTACATTTAAATCAATCCAGAATCTGGCCACTGGCCCCACGACTCCCCTTGCTCCCTCTCAGTCCAGCTCCCACACCTCACTTGCATTTGGCAGCAGTCCCCCACCCACCCACCCACCCACCCCCGGTCACTTGCGCCCACCTACGTTTATTCTCTCCACAGAAGCCCAAACCAAGACCAAACCCACTGCCATCAAGTCAATTCTGACTCATAGTGATCCCCAGGGTGTTTCCAAGGTGATGAATCCTTACAGAAGTACATTGCCTCATCTTCCTTCCATGGAGCAGCTGGTGGGTTTGAACCGCCAGCCTTCTGCTTAGTAATCAAATGCCTTAGGCACTGCACCACCAGAGCTCCACAGGAGGCATGTGACCCCTTAAAACCCAACAGCTCAGATCACTCTTGGCTGAAAACCCTGCAATAGTTGTTCCTTTCACTCTGAGCTCAAAGAGAAAGCACTCACTCACCAAGCCCTGCCCCACACGCTCTGACGTCATCCCTACAACTTGTCCCTTCCCCATTGCCTGCCAGCCACACCGACCTCCGACCTCCGGCAGTTCCCCAAACATAAGAGGCATCTATCAGCCTCAGGGTCTTTACACTAGCTGTTCCCACTGCCTGGAAGACTCTTCCTTTCACAGAGATCAGCATGGCTGGGTCCTTTAACTCCTTCAAATATAGGTCAAATGTCACCTCAGTGAGGCTGACCCTAACCATTTTGTTGAAAGTTGCAACCTCCCCACCCTCACAATTCCCAATCTCCCTTACCCTGCTTTATTTTATTTTCCCCCACCACTTCCCACCTTCTTAGCACATTTCAAAGCTCAGTGAGACGGCACAGACCTGGCAGTGTTTAGTCTGTTACACATAAGGTCGCAGTAAGACGTAACCTACTCAACGACAACTAATGAGCAACTGCCACCTTCTAACACATTTATTATGGCTTATTGTCTATTAAGACGCTCTGGGGCTGCAGTGGGTAAAACATTCAGCTGCTAACCAAAAGGTCGGTGATTCGAACCCACCAGCCACTCTGGAGAACGATGATACCTCATCTGCTTCAGTAAAGACTTACAGCCTCGGAAAACCTATGGGGCAGTTCTACTTTGTCCTATAGGGTCACTGTTGTTGTTGTTATTTGCAGTCAAGTCGGACCCGACTCACAGCGACCCCTCCTTGGGTTTCAGAGGCAGTATCACTACAGAAGTAGATTGCCTAGCCTTCCTTCCGAGGAGTGGCTGGTGGGTTTGAACCGCCAGCCTCCTGGTTAGCAGTCAAATGCCTTAGGCACTACGCCACCAGAGTTCCCTCCAATCCTGTTAGTGGGTCACAAGCTCTTTACATTTGCATAATCTCACCCAGTCATCTGGTGGGAGCCACAAAGACCACAGCTAGAAGGGCCATACTAAGCAATTCACTGCATAGTAGCAGGTCTACTATGCTAGGAAAGACAAATTGAAGAGCAACGCCACTGCATTCATCGAAAAACAACATATGAGGATCTAACACTGATAGTGAAAGGACAATATCCATACACCTAACAAGGAAGGTCAGTTAATAGGACTGTCATTCACATTTACATGCCAACCATTAACACCAAAGATGAAGTCATTGAAGATTTTTACCAAATTCTGTCGTCTGAAATTGATCAAATGTTCAATCAAGATGCATAGAGGATTCCTGGTGATTGGAATGTGAAAGTTGGACACAAAGAAAGATCAGTAGTTGGAAAACATGGCCTTACTGATAGACATGATGCTCGAGATTGTATGATGGAATGTTCCAACACCAGTGACTCATTCATTGCAAATACCTTTTCTCAACAACATGAAGAGGCGACTATTCACAAGGACCTTGCCAGATAGAACACATTGGAATCCAGTGGACTCCATCTATAGAAGTGGACAACGGAGTGGCCCAGTATCATTAGTCAGAACAAGGTGAGAGGCGAACTATGAAACAATTGCTCAAATGTGAGTGTGGTGCAGAGAACTGTGTGCTGTGGCCCCTCCAGCCATGGCCTTAGTGACTCCATCAGATCACAGGGATGCAAATAGGAGGTGCTTATGGCCCCCCAAGGGGGTTGGCTAGCTTGCTAATAATGTAAGTAAGGGGCATGACACCCTGAAGGGGTGGGACCATGGAACTAAGGTGTATGGAACCCTAACATGGGGCTTGGTCACTTTCGCCATCCCACTAGGCTTAAAATGAGTCATCTCAGAGGTGGAGAGGGGGATGTCACTAACATCAAGAAAGAAGAACCAGGAGCAGAGTGGTGCCCTGCGCTGCACTTCCTTGACCTAGGAGACAGAGAGAGCTGTAACACTTCCCTGAGACAGCCAGAGACCGTGAGAAGCACTGGCAGAGAAATGGTGGCAGAGGCAGCAGGACCGAGAGAGAGGCGTGATACAGAGCGGTCCCAGCCCACGGAGTGAGAAAGCTGAGTGCCTTTGGGCAGGAGACTTGCTGGCTGGGTGAGGTGCTTCTCTGGGCACCTGTTGGCAAAGCTAAAAGAGTTTGTAACACTTGCCTGAGCAGAGCAGAGGCCAGGCCAAGGGGCTCGGGGCCAACAAGAGGCCTGCCTTCAGGAACGGCGGAGGGGAGGTCATCCTTATGGAAGACCTGCATCCAGAGTGTTCTAATTCTGAACTGTCACCTACTAAGCCCCATAATCAGGAATATTGTCTGTGAGTTTTGTGGGCCATTGCAATGGTTTATCTCAACCACTTGGTTGTCGTTGTTATTTACCGTCGAGTCGGACCCCGACTCATAGCGACCCCTCCTTGGGTTTCCAAGGAAGTATCACTACGGAAGTAGATTGCCCCATCTTCCTTCTGAGGAGGAAAGGGATCAAAATAGGAGAGCGTGGATAGAGCGGGAGAAAAATATGGAGCAAAACTCAAAATCATTAAAAAAAAAAAAAACACCCAGGTTTATTGGTCTGATAGAGCCTAGTGAGACCCTGAGACTGTGGCCCTCAGTTACCCTTCAGGTCTGCAATTAAGCTCGTTCCCGTGGCTTCCAGCCGAACAATAGACAGCCATAGAGGGTGGACATTGACATCA